TTTAATTTTTTCTTTCTACTCAATATTTAGATATAAATGCAGAATTTTATAGTCATTTTAATCTATTAACCATGACTGTCCTAATCCAAAATTGACTAAATTACAACTMGAATTTCGTGTATTATTTACGTAATAAAAAATTGTATTTTCCATAGTGCCCAATATGATTATATATATTATACTATAATATTAAGTGCGCATAATATAATATTTATAACAATAATCACCATCGACGAATCCGGTAACACCGCTCGGATCTCACAATCAATGTCGTCAATGATGTAGATTTTCACGGTGGCACTGCTGTATGTGAACTTCTCTATAGGCGTGTAAATTTGCAATGCGTACTCGAAATCGGACCAACTGACATAGTGTGAAATGCCAGCAAAGCCCAACACAAAGTGATTCCATCCAACTCGGAAGTCAGCCTATAACGGTTGTATCATTGACATAATAATGTACGAGGTAGTAATTATTACTTAATTTATATTATAATAATCGCACTTAGTCGCATTTAAATAAATAATCCTCGGCGTCTATGGCCATTAGCATACAAATAGTTATAAGGTGAACAATTTCTTAAGATACAATATTTACATACATTATTTTTATTGTTATTGCATAAAAATCGCAAATGGCAATTTGTATGATATAATGGCATCATAACAATATTATGATAAATAGTGTATGAAGATCATAATAGAAAGTTTTCAATTGTGTAACTCAAATAGTCAAATATAATACTTAAGTACCAAATACCTAACGGTTTTCGATAGAAAGTTTTTAAGTGAATATTATAAATATTAAGTTGGTTTTTTATAGCTCTGGCGCAGCATCTGTAATCTGTCTTGTAAGCAAACAAAATTTAGACTTAAAATGTGATATCATTTTCTTTTCGGAATACTGTAAATATTTGGTAGACTTGCAAATTAATTAAGTTAAAAAAGTTTTATTTTTAATAAAACTGTATAGAATATTATCATAGCTGTGAACTTTCATAAATTATGTTATATTATTATCTAACTTTTTACACGTTAAAAATACATAATTTATTTTATGAAAATATATTTAAATGTAAGATCACTACAAATATATKAACAAAACTTAAATTACAAAACACRTTCGTTGAAGTTAATATGCATGTCAATATTTTAGTACCTACTGTTAACTAGCTTAAGTCTATTTAAATAATTTAAATGAGAACAAAATGTTTTTAATAATGATTTAACACTCAATTATTCATACTTGCTTTTAGGGAGTATTATACTACGTCATATTTAGTAAATTAGTCAAATAATTTTCAGTGTTTCAAAGAGAATGATTGTATATTTTTCCATTTCAAATTTTGTGTKAAAAGACTTACTTAAAAAATGTTTTGCTTAAATAAAAATAAACAGATGTTTTTATAACAGTAATTTATTTGACGCAAGAATATTATTTTGCATACCTACTTGCTTTATAATATTTCTTATTTTTAATGCACTTATGCCATTTAAAATTATTATACCGCGTGCTGAGGGAGTAACGAGTTCAAAACTCTGATTATAATATTATACAATTTACGCATATACATTCTACTAGTACCTCTATGGCTCAATACGATGGAATATTATATTAGTGTCAGGTGATTACTTACTAATTCACTATTCAGTTTACCAGCAATGATCAACTGCCTTAACGGATCTACGGGTGTGTTGACTCGTAATTTAAGATTATAGTTGGATAGATTTTTGTACAAATAACGCAATTCGATGCCAAGTTTGAAATTATCACTGTATATGTCGAAAAAAATATGCTTTTCTCTTGCTTTGTAACCCATTTTCCCGAATAGAGTTTTGTAACTTTCATAAGGAGTTGAAATCTTCAACAATATTTTGCTATTGTCTAGTGGAAAGTATACACCTAAAATATAAAAATAAATGATTACTATATTATTAATATTGTAAATAATATATATATATATATATATATATATATATGTGTGATTTCTGAGTAAACAGACAAAAGAAACTCGTGTGAAAGATTTTGTAAAAAATTAGATAAAAATCAGCTTTGAATTTCTGTCGTCACTTTGTCAGCTACAATACAGTAGCTGATGATAATAATATTCTATTAACAGAAGTTTAGCAGACGTACCATATTATAGATTATGAACATAATGCTATTATAGTCATTATCTTGGATTATACCTACTTAATCTATTCAATGGTTTATAACAAAAGTACTTGTATTAAGCAAATACCTACACAAAATTACAAAAATATGAAGAAAATAATCATGATAAATCCATTGCAAACTTAAAGCATTGTGAAGTTCTGACGACATCTAAAAAATCTTATGAGCAATAAAAAACAAATCTATCAGCAACGATTTAATTAATTTAATCACAAACCACCCAAACTTTAATAGTACTATAATACCTATCCAAAAGCGATCCCCGTTTAATAATTAAAGAGAAATGCATCTACAATGGTTTAGCTAATTAATATTATAGCTCCCAGTGCACAAAACTTAACGACGTAAAAATAAGATGTGACACAATGAACACATAACCAGTTAATTACTACCTTGTAAAAACCAGATTACGTATTGGTCAAACACGCTTACTCAACGGACTAGTTACTCGCAAGTCACAGTATATTTATACAAAATATACCAATCATATTTTCATTACAAGTTATTTGGTAATTAAAAGTAAAAAAAATAAAATGTTATTATGGATATTAATAAATATATTATATTATTATATATTATCATTACTTAAGARTATGTTCTTTCAATGTTTCAAATATTGCACTATTTATACTAATCTAAATAACGGTTAAACGTAAAACGCTAAACTTTTTATAACTTTTTTATTATTAATAACGCTAAACGCATAAATTGAATAAAGTTTAAATTCTTTATAGGTAACGTTAAACAGTCAATCGATCATAATGTTTAATATACCTATAACAGTAAACGGTAATATTATTATTATTATTTTTTTTTTTATTTAAACCCTGCTTTAAGGAAATATTAGTAAATAACAATTTTAGGTACCTATATATTTTGTAATAACTTTTTGTAGAATAATATTGTGTACCTAAAAAAGATCATTAAACGTTTTCAAGGTGAACATTGAATATTTGAATGGCTTAGATTTTTTATTTAGACATGAACGGAAATGATTTTGAACCAAGTGAACTATTGACATTTACCAAAATAAAACGAGCAAATCCACAAAGTATAATATCATACCTAATCATATATGCATAATATTATAATATAGAATATAAATTTCACTGTTTTTGGGTTATCTATAAGAAACTAAGTGTTGTTATTATTAATATAATTTAATCATCTATAGTTACAAGTTATACAGTGTACATAATAATAAAAGAGTACCTATCAATATTCAATAACCATACACTTACTATAAAATATACATTAATGCAATAATAAATTATACAAGTAATACACTTAAACAATGAGAACAAAAAACAATGTATACATTTAAACTTTATTGAAATTAATTAAAATTTCAATGCCAAGGTAATAATAAGTAATAACATCAATTCCGTTGTATAGTTTTATTCTGCAATAGGTACCCATGATAATGATTTTTAACTTCATAAGACCGAAGGATAAAAAATAGATACTGAATTAAACGACTAYATTTTTACGTAGTTTCATTTAAATAACTCGAATTTTATTCGTTATAATTAAGGAGCGACTTTGTATGTATTTGCATATTTTTCTGGGTAATCGTATTATAATATAAGATATGCCAAGTGCATTTCTAGTATAACAAATTGAAAAACTTTTAATGCATAATTTTGCATACTTTGACATTTTTAAATTTTAGGTGTACTTACTGATATTTTATGATTTTAAGATTTCGGTATTTTGTTATAAGACATTTACCAACCTATTTTGGAATAAATACGCTATCGATCTATGTTAGATGTTTTTAATTTAAATATCCGAGCTYAAGAATAGCTTTTACCTATAAAAACAATCACCAATATTTGTAGGTATAAATTCATGGTTGGGCTGGTCAAGGTGACGAGGGAGTGGTCACACCCCAGACCCTCGATGGTGTCATATTAAAAATAGTAAAATATAAAAGTAAATACCTAAGTCCTACAGTAGTAAAATACCATTTATTTAATATTTCTCAATGTAAATTAGTAACATGTCGAAAAAACGATCCTCATATTATCTGCATAGGTAATTATTATTTAAACAATCTTGGACTTATTCACRTCTTCCAGAATAGGGAGTTAAGTATAGTTGTTTACACATCTCATCTCCACTAAACTGCAACAAATTCTCTCTGAAACGTCTAAACGTAATATGGGTTGAATATGTATGCAATAATATTATATTATATTAAGATTTAAAATACCTAATAGTATTTATAATAAGATAGATATAGATAATAATATAAAAACTGTTATGATTGTAATTTAAGTTACTAGATTTTCTTTTTGGAAATCTTGACATGATAAGTACTTACATATTTTGTATTATTAATGGATAATGTATTCTTGTTGATTATTAATACTTTATACTTTATCTGAGATAGTTTATCATTTTTAATTTGCATTCAAAACACAGACTTCTTTACTAACTAGATAAGGTACTCTATATCATTTACATTATTATCAGTGAAGCTCGCACGGGGAAGACCGCCGTTTTGCTGGTTCTGGTTGGCATACACGAAATGTATAAAGAATAAATGGAATTATATATTATTTTAAAGATGAAATAAAATAATAATCACAAAATTATCTATATAAAATAATTTTATTTTAGTTACAAACAGCAAGTCTAGAAATAATAAAATACAATACCTACAACATAAATTAATATTTACCATAAATACATATTATATGATTTGCCAAMCAAGAAAATGGCGAAATCCGGCTTCAACTAATGCTCGGAGTTTCTTATCTAGTTAGTATAGAAATCAGTGTAGTTAGTGATTCAAAATATCAAACATAACAAAATAAAATAACTTCATCGTATTAGGTATATTATATTCTGACATTCGAACGTGGACATGAACATAAAAATAACAGAAAGTTCGCCGAGTGATGCAATGGAAAATAGGACTTTTGAGTTCTCATCAATATTTTTGTCCAAAGCTTAGCCTATTCATATTTGTTAAGCTTTAAAATACCAACAATTCTAAATGTACTAAGAATAAATATAATCAATTAATAAAATATTTGACTAACAGGCTAATGAAAAACTAAAAACTGAAGTCAGGAACATAAACTATAGTAATAAATATATTAGGTATGTACTATGTTAATATTATTATTTTTAATTAAAATAATGCTAAAAAATATTAAATCAGTTATTCACAAATGGTCGATATTTATAAATATCGGTAATCCGTCAATAATCGGTTGAAGCTACATAATATTATGTATTTATTTATTCAACAAAATATTTCGTTAAACGTGGATCACTCGGTGATAAAGTTATCACCAGTTGTTGATGATAATGATAGTAAATGCAACAAATTTTCAACTAAAATATAATGCTCGATTGTGTTGTCTTACCGTGAAACTCGACTTTGAAATTGCTCGAATCTATTTGTAGTCCGACGACACCATTGAGTTTTTTTTCTTGTATACCAACTTCTGACTCAAAGCTAAATGTCTTGTAATAAAAAAACGGTGTGAGCGTGGTGACCGAACCGCTGTAAATAGTTTCAGTCTTCGTGCTGTTAATTTTACCAGTCAACCCYAGCGATATTACGTATTTTGGATTTATCTATACAACACAAAATGAATGTTCGAGTAATTAATATTTTTAGAGTGTTTCACGTGAAACAAAAAGTATATATATTATATCATTTAGGTATAATRAAATATAACCTGGAGCAACACACTGGTGTTGAAACTGTTGGTACCATAATTGTGGTTGACGTATATGCGAATAGCATTAAGATCTTGCAGCGAACTGTTAACGGCCGTATTAAACGARAAACCAAAGTCTTCGTCTAGCGTCTGGTAACCGGATTGTACATCAAAGTCCAGGTATTGGTTACCTTGCCACATTACACTACCGTTTGTGTGCAAGTTCTGCGGTCCAATCATAACGCTATAACATCAATATGCGGTACAAAGGTAGGTAGTTATATTGGTTATAATTATGAGTGATATTGAACTTCAGACATTTTTGAAGTTTCGTACTTCTTAAATAAAGATTTAATTAATAAACACGAACAAGTTCAACCAACGTTTCTGTGTGCAGTTCGCATATTATTACAATACAACATAAAAAATATTTTGGCGCAAACCACATACAAAGCTATGATAGGAAACAGTGTTGCCTTGAAATCAAAACAAAATTTATTAGATTGTCTTATAAAAATGTTAAAGTTGTTAGGATAATAATTTGTTTTATAGTATAATTAGTATTTTTAAGTGTTCATTAAAAGTTCAGGATTTCGTACGATATGATCAACGTGTTATATAAATCCTAATAAATAAAGCACATTTAATGTTGGTACTACATAGTACTAAAAAGTATATCAACGACAGTCTATTCTGGATTATGATATTTTTTTCACCGTAAATATACGAAACCTAAATAAGTTTTCCCGAACAATATAAATTCGGAATAAAATGTAAATCAGAGTTCTTGTATTTTTATTTTTATTTATTCTATTAAATGCAATCATGAACTTTTATAGATACTAGGTTTTCAAATTAGTTTAAAAAAATTGTAATCGCTTTACCTTTGTTCGTATAATGTTTTCAGCCAATTTTCGAATGGCGTGAGCATCTTACAACCAATGTATCCACTTCCTTTTGATAAGAAATCGTTTTTCAATATTAACGAGAAGTCAATCTTTGACGAGGGATCCCATTCAAATGAACTCAAAATGAAATAGTGTTGTCCTGTGTGAGGTTTATCATATAAAAAACAAATTGATTATTATTTTTACTTACAATTATGGTAGACACATTATTATAATTTATAATACTACAACAATCACAATAAATTTATTACAAAACTGAACCGGTAAATTGAGATTTTCTAGTTTCTACTGTGAAAATAGTAGGTACCTACCTATATATTTCAATTCTAAATCGGTGTTCACTGTCCGACCAGGATATTCTATCACCAGCAAACCAAGAAATTGTTCGCCGTCAATGATATCGCTCGTGTTCGTTTTGAATGTGACTGAAAACTTTTGATCAGGATCTCGATTGGCGTCCCATTTTATTTCGAAAATCGTATGGGAATTCCATTCTTTGGCGAATCCTTTGCCGTAAATCGATATGTCTCTGTACCTATATCGCGTTTTCAACATACATCGTCCGATGACTAACTAATACATAATTGGTGTCAAGGAACAGGGGGAAGACCAAAAAAAAAAAATGTTCTAATTCGACGCGAATTATTATTTTATTATTATGTACTTATTACTTGTATATTTAGAACCATCTTTTTTTTATTTTAACATATTATAAATACAAGTTGGATAATATTTATGGAGTCAGCTGCCTTTACTTTGGCCCGTCTGGATGTTCCAACCCGAAATATCCATTAATACTTTTTATGATGTCAAGAAACAATAAGCAAACTGATTTAGAGCAGGGGGGCGTCTTAAAATGATGGCAAAGCAGTCGGTAAACCCTCACCTTAAACAATCTCTACCGTGCAGATTTTGGATTTATAAAAATATTATTAATTTTTAATAGTTAATACTTTATTTTCTGTAAGTTTTGAATATGTAACTTAACAGTTTCTGATTAAGATATAATACAAATAAAATACATTGAAAGAATAAGATAAAATAATATCTTATTGATATTAATATCGTTAATGAATATATGAACTATACATATTTTGAAATAATTAGTAATTTATTGTAATTAATAAGTTGAATTGCATTTTAATATATTCCTATAATATATTAAGGATAATAGAGCAAGATGGACTATTATTCTGAACAAAAAAATTTCTCATATTATGCGTATGTTAGTAATATGAAAATTTGAGTTCCCTATTTAAATGAAATCTTTATTTTTTTTTTTTTTATCATTACTGTTATTTATTATTAACCTTTCCCTCCACAATATTAAAATATAACGAAATTCCTGCCTATACACTAATATCGAGTGGTCAGAGATATAAAAATATAGGTAATTTATATTCATAAATCATTATCGTATTATCTTACTGGTCCAAGTGCATGTCCAGTGTAATCTCGTGATTTTTCAGGTCGATTAAATTGGACACCGAATACGTGCTCGTATTTAATTTCAATTCTCCGTATGATTCGTACTGCAGTATATTGGAACGAGCCAAATGTCTCAAGAGTATAGCGTGCTTTGTGTTGTTGTGGTCCACCTATATACACAACATACAAATGCAATTTATAATTCGATTTGTTATTTGAAAGGGTATTTTCAATTTAATCTGTTTGTTCAACATGTAATTAAGAGGACGCTAAACTTGAAAGTGTTGTTTCCGCCTTGTAAACTAACAACATAGCAAATTTGTGTTGAGTAGAATCGATTTAGTTAGTCTTAATATTAAAGTGAATTGACCTATAGCCAAACTTGTAGGCAAGAACATTACCTGTAATTTCTCTTTAGTTTTTTATAATATTTTATTTTTTAAACGAGTTATGAATATATTGTATAATATCAAAATATAAACATGCTCATCATAACTCGCTTAAAAATTAAAATATCGTAATCAATCCGATGAATGATGCTGATCATGTTCTTGCCTTCAATTTTAATCATAATTCATAGTTCAGTTCAATCAAATATTAAAGCTATGATCATACAAAATCAATTCTACCGATTTTGTCATGTTATACATTCGTAAGGCAATGAACACCTTCTGGGCCCGGATTGCGTTGATATACCTACCCACGATTCAATTCTGTATTCCTCGTCTGACACGTAAATTTTCCCCATAAACACTATGTCGTTGAATAAATGAGATTTTATTAAAAGTTTGAGCGTATGACTCGTTAGATAATATGAAGAGTGGTCCTGGTACAGTCCTCTCGCAGTTACGTTTTGTCCTCCAATCCAAGTTCCCGCGAAATCGATCTAAACAAATTACTTATAAAATTAGTAAGTTGCAAATTATACTTGAATATATATAATACGTAAGTTTTTCGTTTTTGTGATTTAAATCAAAGATATTAAAATTTAATATTGAGCATTGCATTTTTTTTAATTTTAAATAATAAGTTATGTATAGGTATAGGTTTGTATATTTTACAATAATAGTGTCAAATGATGTAATCAAATATAATAATAAAACAATTCCAACGACTCGGAGACAATTAGTGTCATAATACAGTGTTAAAATAGTTGCCTATATTAATGTTTAATATAGTTCTTACTCTTATAGTATCAGTTATAGCCTATAGCGGCTATATAGGTGTGACAGATGTTTCTATATCAATTTATCTAGTATCAACAGATTAATTTATAAGAAAAATACTCACTTTAAAATTAAAATTGAATAATCAATCTAACCTATACTAATATCAAAAACAACATAATTACAAATATTTTAGACTAGCCAGGCAATATTGCTACTACGTACATCGTTGGTAAATAACTGCAAGTGGGTAAATTAATATATTATCGACATCACACTTACGTCATATTCATTCATAACTTTTTCCTTGACCACAATGTGTATGTCCAACGGAAATTTTCCCGACGGTATTGTCAATTTGAATCTTGAATCAACGTTTAGTAGTATACTCGGAGGCATAAGGATGTCGAGTTTGGCAGTGATATTTTTATCTGTACATATTACATAAGTTAATGTGAGGGTAATAATCAAAAACTCGTTGATATAGGTCGAGTGAAAAGTTAAATAGTAGGTACCTTGCGCATACTGAATAAGAACTGCGGTGTTGGACGTGGTTTGCGTGTCTTGATGATTTGCTATGATTTTGAAAAAAATGTTTTCCGCCACTTTAGTGACGAATAAGTTTAAGTTTATCTTGTTACCCGAATAATATTTGATTTGAGTAAATCCGAATTCGACGTGTAGCTTTTTAGTGTTGTCCTTCAGGTTAGGGTAGTTAATGAAATCGATGCGACATTCTGTATGACCTTGCGCTTTCTAAAACAAGAAGAATATATTTATTGTCTCAAGTTATAACTGATTTATTTAAACTTGGTTAGTATAATAATGGAATCAAATTAAGCCTCAGTGTAATATAGTAAGTATTAAATTAATTTTCAAAAAATATCTGTATGCGTTTATATGATATCATCTATTAACATATGTATTATATATGTGTATTTTCCATCCATATTAAATCTATAAAACCTAAAAATTATTCATACACTTGAACGAATACAAAATATTTAAAATCTAAATATTTTTTAACATCTATTGTCATATAGTGTCTTATAATATACACTAGTCGTACTTTTTTTCATATTTTGTCTTAGAATTAAATCGTTTATTATGAAAAAGATATAGGATGGTAAGATCTTCCCGTATTTTAATTTTCTTATTATACTCAATTCTTTCTCAAAATAATATTTTAAATATAACGGTTTACTGCCAACATGATATTATTAACAAAGGCACATAATTTCAAAATTAAATATTTTACTTGATGGAGTCGGTTTCAACGTATTAAATGACAATTTTTCAGTTAATATCAAACTATTCCCATATAGTTAAGTGGTGCAACAGCCGTGCAGAAAAGTATAATCAAACCATTTCAATGATCATAATGAATTACAGGAAAAACAATGTAGAAAAATGGTTTTTTTTATTTGAAAAGGTCAACTCAATCTGGGCACATATTGAACTCAGATTATTTAATCAACTTTTAAATTGAAATAACCCCCCAAAAAAAATACACTTCAAAGTACTCGATAATTCTTTATGTACGATTTACCAATTATATTAATCGTGTATTACAATTTACAACTGCATAAAATAGAATTCAATATTTGTTTACTAATATACATAATATATTAAACACATATTTTGTAAAATGTACATAATGTATATTAACATATTTCATCAAAATTTTCAATTAATTAAAATAATAGTGTTCGATGTAGCCGAATTGTAATCCCTGGGTATTAATATGAGTAAATATTTATGTTTGGCTGTTACAAATTAATAATTAAACTTAGAAAATGTTCGACATTCCAAGAATTTATTCCAATTCATATTTCTATATGGTATTTTGTGAATCAATCGCGGTAAACTGCAATTCTATACCTATATCATAGTTTCTATATTAAATATCAGAGGTACACAAATAAAATACTTCAACTTAAATCAAAAACGTAATAAATATAATTGATAAGAGTAAGTTCACTAGTTCCGATGGATACTATAATATATATTATGTATATAAATAGTTATAAATTTATAGTTAATAATTACATATTACATTGCGGATATTGCGTAGGTACTAGGTACATAAATTTTGTTCGAAGGTTATTCGCTTATTAATCAGACTGGTAATACCTGGTATATGGCCGAAGTTACATGGTTAATATGCGGATAAGCTGATGATTCCAATTGCATGATTCCTTGTAACGACGATAAGGCTTTAGTAGATCGATCACTGATTTTCACTTCCAGTTTTATCGTGTCCAGAGTTACAGCTTTATCGAATGAGTATTCAAATATCAAATTTATTGCTGTTGACGCATCGTTTATTTTGATGTAACCGACAATTGTAGAATCAAACTTGTTAGTTTTAAATGTCAAGTTGATATCGCATTGAGAGATCCCTTTTTTTTCCACCCATTTGTATTGACCTAAAATTCGAAAACAATTATGCAATCATATTTTTATTATTTACGTGTTTATAATACATAATATTATTATAAACTTTTATACATTTTTATAAACTTATAATACTTTGCATAGGTACTGTGAATAAAATTATGGTGATACAATATTAATTTAAAAACTGAATAAAAATATTAATAATAAATAAAACCACCTTCGAGTTCAGCGATTCTCCTTGCATTTATGTCTAGGTATAATTTCGGTAAATACAAACGACCGTATTTTTCATTTTCGATTTTTAGTTCCATCAATAGATCGAGATGTCTCACGTCATTAATGTCTAGTGTGAATGTCATCAACTTGTGCAACGGAGAATTCCTATACAAACCTAAAAATATTGTTTGTAAAAATGTCATTGTTTGACAAAATGAAGAACAAATTTACAGAATCCATACCCAAAGCGTGTAACTGAATAGTTTTTCCATGAACTAATAATGTGAAATTTTGCGTTTGAGTGTCTATTTCCAGAAGTGCTTTCATATAGTGTTTAACGTGTGATCCCGGTGTTTCGTATACAAAGCTGATGGATGAATTTTTCTAAATCAACAGCAAGTACGCATTTTAGTTTTTTAATATTAAATGCAATGTAATTATGTACATGATTTAAAATAAATAAAGGTGCGAAAGTGTTCACTTACTTTGCCGGTGAGCCATTTGTATTCRATTACATATTTATTGACTTTTATATCTGATTTCAGTAAAAAAATGTTCAATCTCAATGGTCCGTTAAATATAACCATAGGTGATTTGATTATTTCAGTTACGTTTGGTAACCGATAATTAGTGTATAACTTGAGACCCATCATCTCTTCGAGAACGGGCAGACTGTAGGACAAATTAGATGGTGCCATGGAATTTCGATTCGAATTGATATCGACGTCTAATTTATGGTCTTCTAAAAACAACTCGGATCTGCCACAAAATGAAGAAAAAAAACATTAATAAATAAAAGTTTTGATCATTAGGTTGCACGTTTAAAATGTCGAATCCAACTGTATCAAATGTTATAAATATTAATGTATATTATCTTAAGTAAAAAATACATAAAAGGTTTAAATCACAACAATTATAAATTTTTATGTAACAAAAATTTGAATGAATATAATATTATTCACAAACATAATACTAGTTATTGAATATTATTATTATATTAAATTGGACATTGTCTATTTTTAAATGAAGAAAGTAACAAAAGAAGTTGATAAAAAAAAAACTCAATATATGTAATAGCTAAGTTAAATATAAATATAATTATTATAGTTGTAGGTAAATATTTTATTGATGATGRAACATTTATACGTACTCAATGCTAATAATATCGGATCTGATCTTTGGCAAATCAAATACTAAATTCACAAATTTGTATCCCTTAACCTCGGTGGTTCCTTCAAACGCAGTTGAAGTGTACAACTTTGATTTGACTTTGGCCTGAGTAGTCTCGTAGTGGAGGTCCATAGTCATTGAGCCCTCCAGATTCAAAGCTAAACTGCACATAATATTATATTGTATAAATAAGCATTCGATTCAAAGTTGGTAAACGGAATAATATATTAAATTGTGATCCGTCCAATACAATAGTAATATCAAATAGAAACCAATATAGCTATATTAGGTATTAGAGGTATTACCTACACAATACTGAAACACGAACAATGAATATATTTTATAATTTCGCAGTTAAAAAGTAAAACACAATCAAAATGTATTTAAATATAAATCTCTTTTGTTTCAGACTAAATTTTTCATACTTTTTTTTTAAACTACGATTCCCCAAAGTACGCCGGGTAAAATTAAACCAACCACTGATTTTCAAACGGAAATTTTGATTTAAAATTCGTAAACAGAATAATTATTATTTTGAAAGTTTTAATGCATTGTATATGATTATAATGGATTATTTGAAAATAAAATACAAAGTACTTTGCATCATATTCTATAGAGGTTCTTACACTGCGATTTATCAAAAAGTTATAAAACAAATGTATGTATGGTATACACGCTACATGTCTACAGTCGGTAATTTATGATGAAACATTTTATTTATACGTCATACTATACTTATTTAATACAAAATATGTTAAAATCTGTAGATGTAGGTTATATAGTTTATAAATTATTAAATGATTGTATGGAGATTGTTTGTATAATGCATACATATCATAGCGAGATACGTAGGTACCTAACAATACGCCAAATATAAAGGAAAATAATTGAGTTATTTGATATTTGGTACTTTAAGAATGAATAACAAAATACGTAATGCGATTTGTTTATTCGTGAACAAACATTATAAATTAAAACGAAGATAATAATACAATGGTTATGTCTCCTAAATTTTAATTTACCTTGGATACAATTTGGTTAACATTTTGAACTCTCCAAAGTTTTTGAAAGCATCTCCATTTATGAAACTTGACATGTTTAAGTTTATTACGGAAGTACCGACAGCGTCTAATATCAAAGGCATGCCAATTCCAGTAGGTACAACGTATTTTAAATCCATAAACATAGCGGATTGGTCGTATTTAAATTCCTATATAAAAAAAAAAATTGAGAGTAGGTACTGTTTTACTTGGCTAATGCCAAATGTTTAAACAACACTGAAATATTTACTCGTCCGTTCATGAAACTTTTCATAATGTTGTACACATCAAAAGAACGGATCGCTTTGTTAATTTCATCTACACCATTTAGACGCAAAAATTTAACTTCGTTCCCGAATATCTTGATCGCCAGAGATATCTGTAGGGGCAACAAAATAGGAATCCACATTAATTAATTGCTTTTAAAGATTTATTCGGAAAAAATCTTAATACCAATTTCATTAAGAATCGATATGTATACCGTATCTTTCAAATCAAATTATTACCGACCTTTGGTGGGGGCACATTGTCTGTAACAACATTTGGCAACTCGTTAATCCTATCTTTGAGTGTCTCCGGGATYAAACTTCGCACGAAACGCAAAACATCCAATCCTTTTTTTACACGTTCAGAGCTCAATACGCCTCCAGGCTTAAATAATGCTTCTACGTAGTTTTCAAAGCCTTCGGCATATACCTCCACCTATCACGATGACAATCATCATATTGTTTTTTTTTACAATTAAATTAATTTACAATATACTCAAATTAAGTATTTGTTGTTTGACGTAAAAAAACAGGACTAATTAAACGAGCTATAATCGAACTKATTAAAAGAAAAAGAAAAAGGTGTTGACTGAGTTTAAGATTCCAATTTTGAGTATAATATTAACTACGAATTTGAAATATTGTTCGATTATATAACTGTAGATTTTGATTATTGTTTTTTTTTTATTATTCATTTATCACTAACTTCAAGTATGTTAATGTATTCTCCAAACAAGGTTAACGTGATGTTTGATGTAAACGATCGAGGTATATAAGACTTTGGAGAAAATATCACATTACTGTCGAAAGATCCACCTGGTATATAACATTTACAACATTGATTAATTATAATTATTATAACAAAGAATTAAATCTCCAAAAAACCTTACCGACGCCATATTCGCTTAAAAAAAATGAAGTTTCGTAATTTCTGGAAAACTTTCGTATGTCAGTGTTAAATTTTTTGGTTATGTCACCAGCCAACATGGTTTGTAGCTCCAAATAAAATGGTACAGAAGTCTTTTTCAGGTTTTGTAAATGTGTCCACACAAACGAGCCCACTACAGATAAAATGCCAACGATGATTAAAAATCTTCATATTATTCAATAAAAATACAGATCAAACAATTATACGATATCTGTTTAAGTCTATATTTATGTATTTTTTGATTTGTTTTTTT